CTTGACACTCACAAGCCCTCGGCCTCCCTCGCTACGCTTGGTATACAGTCTCAGGGTGCTGGGTTTGGGGTGGAACCCTCCATGCATTTTGAGGAGCTTTCTCGTCTTGATGTCAGTAGCCTCTATCTCCTCCTTTGGCCAGTTTATTATACCAGCGGGGTATCTGATGACTGGTAGGGCATATGTGTTGATGGCTTGGATCTTGTTTTTCCCTTTCAGCTGACTTTTCAGGACCTGCCTTACTCTTTGTAGGTATTTGGCTGTGGCATTCTTTCTTGCTATCTCCTTGTGGTTTTATATATATATATATATATATATATATATATATATATATATATATATATATATATATAATGTCCAAAGGACATAAGCCTCCTCAGAAGGTGGAGGTGACTCTGGGCCTTCTTGTACAGGGTGTTGGTGTTATGAGTTCAGTCCGGTTTGTTATTGACGTGAACACCCAGGTATTTGAATCTTTCCACTGTTTCTATGTACTGCCCCTGAAGTCGATCACCATCTCCTTGGTCTTACTGGTGTTAAGACACAGGTGGTTTTCTCACACCAGTCCACAAGGTTCATGTTGACCGACTGATACCCCAGCTCGTTCCCCTCAGAAACCCGCAATGGCCGAATCATTGGAGAACTGGTAATTCATTTATTGCATACAGCACTATATGGGGTGCTCTCCATTCAAACAGTTAAAGCTACCTTAAAGGACTATGGGACCATGTGTGGGCACACATAGCACTTTGAATTTTGCTGAATATTAAAGCTTTAATGTGGTTTTAATGGGTTCTCTGAGTCCTGCTCTAAAGGCTTACTAGCTGCAGCTTCTTTAAAAACTCAAAGAAAAAAATATATCAGCATGGAGTTGACAGCAGCGTGATTAATTCTCATCACGTAGTGTGAGCCCCGGCATGCATAACTCGAGTGAAAATTTCCCAGCAGCATCTTCATGTGCTGCAGCACTGAAAATTATCACATTCTGTAGCAGGAAAAGTGAGAAACTTGATGCAGGAAAATACAGATTAAATCAGGGATTCAATGAGACCAAGTGAAACAGAAAATAGAAGAGAAACCTCCTGCACACAGAGAGAATTCAGTAATGTGATCACTACTCACAGCTGTAGTTAAGTTACCATCAGGTGGACTCACAAACTTTACAAATAGCCATAAATGAAGATTGCTTGAAATGTATTTAGTTTTTTTAACAGGCACTAGCGTATGGTTAGCTGAGTTTGTCGCTAGTATGTCACAAAATATGGAAAAGGTTAATCAAGTTTCATAAATTTCACCAAAAACTTGTCTTTCTGGTTTTCAGGAGTTCCCCTTGGCTGTGGTGAAGAAGCCCCATTGCTTTTGCACATGGACCTCGTCTCTTTTTAATATCAACCGGCACTCGGACAAACAGCAGTGTGCAGAGGGCGGCGCTCAGAACCGCACAGAAGGCTCAGCATCCACAGCCGAAGCAGAGCCTGACCATTACCAGGTGTATCACACGCCTGTGCTCGGTGAGAGTTCGTCTGACAGCTATAAACGTGTCAGTCTGCATGTGAGCAGAGTCGACTTTGAAGCCCAACTGCTTCTGCAGTGAATTAGCTAAATGTTTTATGCCCCTCTCTGTCAGGGATTTTTGATAATCACACAGCTCAGTTAAAGCTTAACCCCCCTATTTATCTGAGAAGAATAGCCTGTGATAAAAGTAGTCCATACTGCGACACTTTGTTTGAACCCTTTGTTGGTTTCTCAGGGGAACGCCGCTTAGTGAATGACAGAGCGGGAAATTACACTTGAAAGCCCTTTTCCTCCCCATATTATCTAAAATCTCAGCTCATATCCGTTTGAGAGCTCTTACAGTCACGCTGCAGTTGGTGTCACAAACGCTTTTGGGTCTTATGTGTCCCTAAAGTGACTCCATTTTGGGCTCTCAGTTTATCCAATGACTCTGGTAACTCAGCTGACAGTAAGACAAATAAAAGAAAGCCCTTTTTTTTCAGACTCAAGGTGCAAAGAGAGGATGTTTCTGCCTCAGAAATCCTCCTCCCTGGTGGCTCTGTCCAGTTTTCCAGGGGCAGGCAACACCTGGGTCCGACACCTGATTGAGCTTTTGACCGGATACTACACTGGCAGCTTTTACTTTGATGGCAGTCTCTACAACAGAGGTAGGAAAAGCATTTCTGAATAAATATGCTGGTAAAATGTTTCACTACAGCCCTGATCGGTTTATTCTCTGGTACAAGGTTTTAAAGGGGAAAAGGACTATTGGAAGAGCGGCCGCAGCATCTGTGTGAAGACCCATGAAAGTGGTCAGAAAGAGATCGAAATGTTTGATTCTGCCATCCTGCTGATTCGAAACCCTTACCGCTCCTTAATAGCTGAATTCAACCGCAAGTGTGCTGGACACCTGGGGCACGCCACAGAGGCACAGTGGGACAGCAAAGGTAAGAGCGGCCCTCAAGGTCAAGGGTTTACTGGCTTTGTTAAAGGTTTCTATTCTCTTTGCATTATATTTACAGAGGCAAGCTTTTCTGAGCTCTTCTGAACCATAGAGGACCAAATATAACGTTATTTTCCCAGCAGGTTGATCGTGTTTTCTCAAAGAGCACAAACTGGAAGGCATCTTTGTTCTGTAATATCTCATATGTGCAGAGATATTCAGAAGTACTGATCGCTGACATGTCACAGATGTTTAAATTTTTTTTTTTTTAGATGAGTTTATTTATTTATTCACTGCCAGATAAAGCAGCTTAAGACATTTTTTGTAGATGCCAAAGGGATCTGTTTTCTCCAGTGTTGACCTCAGCCTTAAACTAAAGAACATTTCACATGCTGTTTGCAAATATATAAAATGTATGAGAATATTGTCTGTTTTTAGCTTGCCTCTCGTCTTCAGCAGCTCCAGTTTGCTGGACTTTCCCTTCTGTCCTTTCTAATGGTCAACCTTTTGTCAGCGTTATGCTGAGAGTGTTTGCAGTTTTCTTTTTAACATTTGAAACTGTTTCTCAGAGAAAGAAAAAAGCTTTGTTGAGCCCAGATCTAATACTTCAGTGTTCTGATTATTGTTCTTTTAAATGGGTTTGCCTTGTGACACATTGATCCCCAAAACCCGCACTTTCTGAAAGACGTTTCCCATAGAGGTCAGATTGATCCAACTCTTTCTCTCTGCTTTCCTGGGCAGTGTTGTGCATCAGCTAACTATCTCAGGGTAGAAACAGCACCACACCTCGATTCTATCAGGAAACATCATTGTCAGAATAACACCAGACTCACAGCACTCACAGCTTTTCCTTTGTAGGCTAGTGATTTTCTGACTCTTGTAAAACTCTTCTGCTCTGTTGCCGATTATATTTATTCTTTTTTGGGGGGGTTCTTTTCTTCCCTTATTCAAACTTACTTAACCCAACACTTACATAACTTAACACTGCAGATGAAAGAAGGAAATTCTAGAAACCTCTTTGATATGCAGACAGAACTCTAGATGAACCAAAGTGGATATTTTTTTCAGATCTTTTGGGGGTTTTCAAAAAATGATGTTCCCCCCAAGGCAATTGAAAAGTTGTTCATAGAGAACAATTTAGCAGCAGTCTGTTAAGGTTCACCTGTGCTTTTATCGTGAAATGCCGACAGACAACAAGACCTTGACAGGAAATAACATGGGGTTGCCAGGGGTAACGGTCAGTCTGGGAGGCTGGAGATGAACTAAATATTAAACAATCATTCCAGCCACTAAATAAGGTAAACATGCCCACTGTTATATTCAATGCCAGCACAGGAATTACATGTAATATTATGCAATAACTTTATATCAGAAATGAGCACATCACTAATGTCTGTAGGATGGCTACATCATCAGCCATAATTAAAAACCATCTTAAAAACCAAATCAGCACAAACCTCCTTTCAAACATTCTACCAGATTTTATTTTGATTTAAGACTAAAATAGGGGTTTAAAACTGATACCCATCCTCCCACCCATTCAATTTTGTCCACTCTCTGGATATTTTAGATTCCAGGATATTCCCTTCCTTGCTATTACTGTACAATTCTTTAAGCTCTTTCTCTTTAAACTTTAATATAGAGCACATTGATATTTCCAGAGAGAAACCTGTTTTGTGTTCTTTTGTCTGCAGAATGGCCAGAATTTGTCTCCGGCTATGCCCCCTGGTGGGCCTCCCACGCTCTGAGCTGGCTCAAGTTTGGACGCCACTTGCTGGTGGTGCATTATGAGGAGCTCCGGAAAGCCCTCCTCCCCCAGCTCCGTCTCATCGCTGCTTTCCTGAATGTCACCATAACAGAGGAGAGGCTTCTATGCGCACAGAGCAACCAGGACGGCCATTTCAAACGCCCCGGCGCCCAGCAGACCTCCTTTGACCCGTTCACTCCTGACATGAGGCGGATAATCGACTCTTTCATTGTTACAGTTGACCAGGCACTGCAGAGCAGGAACTTTAGCAGAATTCCAGAGGAGTACCTCCCCAGATGATGGTTGTTAGGCTTTGAAATGACTGGTTCACCCTGGGTCTAAGGGAAGGTTTGTGGTTTTCTCAGCAGGAATGGATTAGCTGATGTAAGTGGACCAAATGACCTTCTTACAAGCCGGGCTACAAAAAAAAGATGACAGTTCACTGGGAAATCCAACAGAGAACAGTTGTCGAAAACCTTGAGGCCTTGACCTCTTCTCTGAAAGCAACATAGATGATAAACAGAGAAGACTTGACATGAAGTGCTAACCTGACGGAGGGTCTGATTAAGCCACGTATACCATATACTCTTAGCATATGGTTGTTCTTGAGCAGATTTAACTCCTAAACATTCATTAGCTTATCTAGATATAGATAGTTTTTTATGTTGAAGCCTCAGTTTCCTTTCAGAGAAGAGCCTCAGTACCATCATCATCATGTGGCTTTAAAGACTTTCGGTGGAGAATGCCATCAGCTGATTATCAACTCTATATAAATTTCTATGATTTGATGTCATTAAAAATCTGAAGAGAAAATGTTGACACTGGCAAGTTTTTTGTCCAATGATGTGACATGGGAGGTTAACGCTACCTTAACAGGTAGGAGTGTGCAGCTGTTGCCTCTGATGTAAACCCTGATATTACTGCCCATTGTCCATTCAGAGTGCAGAAAGTAGCCAAACCATGCTGTTTACAGTGGAACTTGGAAGATCTCCCTCACTATGAGATGTACCATGAAATAACACTGCCACCTGCTGGCAGTGAGGCACTACAACAAGAGCTGTATGGTCAGTGAAATTAACAGGATAAAATGGAGGAAATAGACGTTAGTGTCAAACTTTTGGCATATTTGGGTTTGATTAGGGATCTAAACAATACAAAGCACAATGGTATAAACTCATTCCTTTCAATTTTCAAACTTATTGTGTTTGCTGTAACAATACTGTTAACAGTTTGAAGCTTGGACTGTTGGAAAAACAAGTAAAGGAGTGACATGCTGCACAACTGGCTGCAGTTTCATCTACAATATAATGAACACAACCATCCACACAGACACATCGCTGAGCTAAAACAAATGAAAAATAGAAGCTTAAAAATTTAACAGGCCTGTTTAACTGCTGTCCAAACAGAGAACAAACTCCCAAGTTGTTAAATGGATCCACACATTAATATAAAGAGCAAAACAGGCTGAGGAAGAACTGAAATTTACTTAAAATTCTGTGTGGGTGTTAAGGGTCTTTTACTCACGTACCCAGAGTGGCAGTCTGTGGGCGTCGGGCTTGAACTCAGAACCTCAGGATTCCAACCCCCATGCCCTAACAACTAGACCACCACTGCCCAAATAAATAACATGCATAAACCCGCTCACCCAGTGACCTTGACTAAAACATAAAAAACTACTAAAAATGTAATTATAAAATTTTGATATTTCCAAATATCTGAATATTTTTTTTTATGTGCAAGATCAATATTGAATCTTTAATGAGGAGTAAAGCTGTTTCGTTCGTCATCGGATTGGTGAATTTCCAAAAGATCTATGCCCAAAGACTCTGGTTAAAAGTTGTCCATGCGCAGTAGCTTCTCTTCAATGCTAAAGACAGGACCATCCTGGCCAGCAGCTCTGATGCGCCCACAGCTGAAAGCAGCTTTATTTGCCTCACAGTCGTCTGTTAGAAAGTGCAGCTGATTGACTGGTTTATAGATTTATTTAGCAGCAAGGCTAGGCTAACTGCATGCAGCAAGGCTAAAGCTTTATTCTGCTTTCCCAGCCTCCATTTTCATTGGTCAGGACCGAACCCAGCATGGATTAAGACAGATAGGACTGATTTAAAGCACTTTAGAACATTTTAGAATGTACATTTTTGTTGTTGGCATTCATGGAAATATACTGGTGTGATATCTTAGTATACATTTGATTGGTTTTGGTATACGTCTATTTTGATGTTATAGCAACCCCTGGAAAGAAACTCCACGAGCCATGACTGCATTCAACATCTGTTTGTTTTTGAAACATGACTCTTCGATTCCCTTTGCAATTCCTTGATAAAAATAAAAAGAGCTGTTTGGACTCATTTTACATATTTCACATCTTGGAAATTTAAAGTAAGGCTTTATTTGCTCATATGATCAGATGGTTTAAGACTAGGTGGTAAACAAATAAACTATTAATTACATTCCCTATTATTTAGTAATACTGTAAAGGGAAAAACACAGTAAAAATGCATAGTATTCAAAGGGTTGAAAAAGAGAAAAAATTGATTATTTGATTCATCAGACGATAATAACAGTAATTTTCCTCTAGAGATTTTAGAAGTAAAAGTCATTTTTGATCTTTCAAACCCAGATTGTTTGCAGTGCTGAACACAACTAGCGTCAGAAGCTGCAAGTTTTATAAGTTATTTATTAAAGCCGACAGGGCTAATTGTACTGAATGTAGCAATAGTTCTGTTATCCCCGGAAGACACAGTAGGTTTTAAAATAAACTTAATTAGTGAAGCAGTTCCAGAAGGCCTCACAGTCAGCTGTCTGTTAGATTTGCAGCAAATAAAGACATGCATATCCATCTGTTCCAACAGCATGAGAAGTCAGGGGGGATTTCCTTACTGTACCGTTGTGGACATAAACAAAGTGGGATGTAATTTATTTCAGAAACTGATGATCTGCTAAGATTTTAACTCAAAATAGTCTATAAATGACTAAATTTCCTGCCCTTAGAAGTAGTGATGCCTGTTTGATGTCAGGGGTCAGAAGCGGATGTGTAAACTGGTTTTAAATTAATGCAGAGGTCATTTCAAATAACCAGCTGTTACATCCAGGGTGAGTGAAATAGCCTTACGAAGTGTACAGTGTGTCAAACCTCGAAGCTCATAGCCTACAACAGCAGACAACAACACTATGAAGAAGAATAATCAACATTATTTACTGCAAATAACTTTGGGATGAACTTTGACCTTTGCTTTTAACTCATCCCTCAGAGTACAGCAGGCAGCTCCGATAACAAACTGGGGCTAAATCTCTTGCTCTTATGACAAGAGTTGATACTGGCAGCCTTTCTCTAGGGCTCTGGTGACTTTAGAGACAGCAGGGCACCACTTCCCACTTGGTAACATAGCCGTCCTGAAGAGCAAGAAAACCGACACCACACCATAAAAAGCTACAGTTAAAGGAAGGCATTTTTTCTGTTAATACATACGGTAAACAAGACAATTTGTTAAAGGAAAAAGAAGATTTAGATTTAAACTAAGAAACAAATAACTCTTTTATCTTATTTCAAGTGGTGCATGATAACTAATTATGTCTTTCATGGGCAAGAATACTCATTCCACTGGCAAATCATATTATCTGGGTCCACAATTACATCCACCAACCTGACACAAAACCTACGCTATCTTTGTATTTATGTATTTGTTTTATACACAATAGCACTAAAATATCTGCTCTTATGTCTAATCAATCAGGCAGCATTCAAGATATTATTAATGGCTTAACCAGCTGGAAATTTTCAAGCCTTAGTGGATCAAAACATTTTTTAAATCTCATTGTTTAAATAGAATATAAAGTGTGTTCAGTTATGTGTGGATGTCTGATTCCTGAGGAAATAAAGATCACAATGATGAAGAAGAGCAAGAACTGTAATAAATGCTCTGAAGTGGAATTAAAAATCTGGAAACTATCAACTATGTATTTATAGGTGTATAAATATATAGTTATTATATAGTTGTATAAATGTTATATACAGATATTTTTAACCTTAATTTTCTCCTGTTGCACAAACTCATCTTTTATCTTCCTTTTAACTACCTTAAATGACTTCTCCAGTTCCTATCTTTGTCTCCTTCTTCTAACTCAGTGATGAACCCTAAAGTTAATGGGGTACATCTCTGGGTAGGAGTACAGGGGCAACCAGGCAGAGGTAGAGAACAGATCCTCCAGGAGAGAATAGCATATACAGACAGTTTGAATAGTTCTAAAAAGATGGGTTCCCTGCTGGCCAATTAATATGATTGGCCAGCAGGGAAATGATTGTAGACTAATTAATAGTGACAGCATGGAAGCCAGATTGGCTACCTTATTTTAACAATTAATTTTATAAAGACTGGTCATGTAAGAATACAGTTCCAATTAATGAAAGTGGTTTGGTCTGAAAACATAACGATGCATGAAATGGTGATTTAGTTTGTAGAAAAGCTGATTTCATAGGAATATATGACGAGGGTGATGCATCTGCAATGATCATAATGTGTGACATGTATAAAGAATAAATGTAAAGCAGTAAGTTTGATATCAGGATGCCTTTTAAAGATGCTGATACATTTAACCTAAACATTAGATTTATTCTTTCAATTGAACAGATCAGATTTAAAGCTTGAAAGCTATATTCTTAGTGTCTCTAATGAGCTCATACAACCAGCATCTGGCCTGAGCTTTACATTTAACTGACAGACGCCAGAGTGGGATTTGATTTCACTTCCAATGATGACCTGAATTTTCCTGACATGACAATGTCTCTTGTAAAATCGTAGTTTTAAGAAAGATCCACGGTGACTGTTCTGAGAAGATGGACTGATCACATGTTGCTCCCTTGTGTGGCAGTTTGCTGCCTTCTACAAGCTTCTGAAGTGATGCAAAGGATTTTGTCTGCCTCTGGACCTGAAGACAGATATGTCTGAAAGTGGGGGATGTCTTTTATTTAGCCTGTTTTCTTTTGTGCTTTATAAGATAATGGTCACACCTTCAGCAGGAGCTCAGATTGATTGGTTTCAACTGGTTTTCTTTTCTAATTAGCAGAAAAAAGCTCCACAATTCCAGTGTAATTCCAATTTCAGTTCAAATGTTCATAATGGTAAATGATATATACATATTTTTTCTACAGACAAATGTTCATGGAGACTTCTAGTGGAATGTGCTGTAATCAGCTGTGCTGCTGCGTCCTAGTTTGGTCATGCCGCCCACCTGGCGTGCAGCGGTGCTCATGACCACATAGTTCTGAAATGGTTCATTACTGCTCGTGCTTGTGCAGAAATGCATCTTTGGCTTAGCACAGAGTCTGCGCTTCCCGCTCCACACATTTAAACTCCTTGGTCTCAGCCATCATGGCCAGATTATTCTTGAGCCTTTGGTGTAGAGAGTTTTAAAGTATTACTAATGGTGTTCCTTTTGCCTGATCCTGACCTGTTTCTGTATTCTGACTTTTGGGCCTGCCTGACCCTGCCTGGTCTAATTCAGACTCCTGTGTGACTCTTCTGGACTATACCTGGATCTGCCTCTTTACTTCGCCCTGTGGCTTATCCTGCCTTCCTTCGTCAGCTCGGATCTGATCTCCTGTCAACTCTGCCGTCTTCTAGGCTTTCGTGTCTGGAACTCTCTTGCAGC